CGCGCCCGCAGATTCGACCCCGGTGCTGGATGAGCTCGAGCAGTACCTCGCGGAGTCCGAGGAGTCGGCTCGAGCTCGACGTGCTCGCGTGGTGGAAGGCCAAGGAGACAAAGTGGCCGGGCGGCGCTTGCCAAGATTGTCAAGCAGTACTTCGCCGCACCGGCCTCCTCCGCGGGCGTCGAGCGCGTCTTCTCGGCCGCGGGCAAGATGCACGGCGTGGCGACCTCCAGAAGTCGGCCAAGGACACCACGCTCGAGCACTCACTCTTCGCGGAGTTCAACACCGAGTAGGGAGTCCACTGGTGCGCGGCTTGAGCGGCAGCGCGGGTGAGAGGCAGCGCGGGAGCGCCCCTCGACCCTCCGGCCTTGGGCCTCGCGCCCTGCCGCGGTGTGACTGTGTCGCGGCCGCTGTCCGCCGTGCCGCTGTCGGAGTGTGGGTGTGTCTTGGTGCGTGTCTGGACGGTCGGTATCTGCTTGGTATCTGGGTGTGACGCGCTCTTTTACTATCTGGTAGATACAGATAGTGGCTCTGAGCCTTCAGATATCTGGCAGATACCCAGATATCTAGGTATCTGGCTCATCTAAACCCCAGCCTTGCCGTAGCTGCTCAGGCCGGGGGAGGGGGAGAGACCTCCTGTTGGAAGTCGGAACGTGGGCAGCCCCCCCACCCCACCCCCCCCCCCGCCCCCCCGCCCGCCCCGCCCGGTCTTCGATGCAGGGCGGTGGTCGTGCCATCGGCTCTTCGTGCACACACACACACGCCGCAGTTGCTCGCGGTCGACGGGCGCGCTCTCGCGGAGAGATGTGTGCGTTCGTCCGAACCCCCTCCCGGCTGCACTCCCAACCAAGAGCAGCTTCATCTGTAGCCGTCAGTCGTTTTTCACCTCCTCCACCGATCAAGACGCGTCGACCAGCAGCGCACACAGCTTTGCCGGCCAGCGCTTCGCAGCACCCGTCGCAAAGCCAAAGATCGTTGAAGTTATGGCCAGACGGATAGGTGGCAACGCACTCCGGCTGTCGTAGCTCTACTACGCTCGGAAGACGGAATGCATTCCGAGATAACGTTCAGAACGCTGTCCCTCGTCGAGTTGTACGTACTCGTACGTACGTACTTTTAGCTCACTGGGAGAAAAGGGAAGAGGGAGGCGCGTTGTAGGTTCGTTGTTAGCAGATCAAGACACAGAGCTCACGCAAATTCACAGTGGGAGGAAAGCGGCGAGTCGCAATTCCTGGGGTCCTTGTGGCGGGCCACCCTGTCGAGTGGTCTCAGGCGATCTCGGGCGATCTCGATTGATCTCGGGCGATCATACTTGGCGGGACCGGGGTCCACACACGCTCCACGGGGTGGACCGCACCCGGGGGGGCCTCCTGCGTCCTGGGCGTAAACTCCAAACCTTTTTAGACCTTACGGGGGCTCTAGGTAGTGAGCTATATCGATCGTAGCAGTCTAGCACTAGACACTACACCACTGCCGAAGGAAAATACCACATTGCAGATCGTGTAAATACTATTGAGCGTGGTAACGGAGACGGTCAAGAGACTCCTAGCGTCTACGGGAGAGAGTGTGCGTGAAGGAATCTTCCCTCAAACGCCATCGTCTGGGCCACCCAGGGCTGTGCAGACCTTTGCCCCGCTGGCCAGCTGCCACTCACATGGATGCACAGCCCCCTGGGGGCGGACAGCAAGAAACCGGCGCCTGCGCGGTGACCACGCGACCCCATCGGTGCAGGGCAAGGATGCCTTCTGCCTGGCCCCCTTGCAATGCACAGACCAGTTCCTGTGACGCGGCACATTTCGTCCACAAGAGTGGCCGTCCTCTAGGAGGCAAAGGCGGAAGCGGCCTGTACTCAGCCTGTCGGCCGCGGCGAGCGTGGTGCGCCTCTGGAGGTGACGGCACTCGGCAGACGAGGGCGCCCAGGGGCGGCGGGGCTGAGCCTGAGGGTGAGGGTGAGGCCGAGGCGCGACGGAGGCGGCGGGGGTGGCGGCGGGGGTGGAGCCACATTAGACAGCACGGCTGCTCTCTTTAAATTACTATATTTTTACGCCTTCACTACACATCATATATTCGAAGATCGAACCGCGCGCGCCAAGGTATGCAAGGATCACACACTATAATCACATGATGGGCACGGTGTCGCGTGTCGCGAGAAGAGACGGCTCTAGTGTATAGAGCTCGCCACCTCGAGGGCGCCACGAGCGGTGCCCACCCCGAACCCCGTTGATATATAAGCGGCTTTCCAAGCTCACCAGCCCACCCCGTCCCCCGCCCCGGCTCTGGCGCACTACGAGGAGCTAAAGAGCATCTCCTTCATCAGCGAGTCGTCGTTCAGGTCGCCCTCCGTCTTCTCCAGCGCCGCGAGCGTGCGCAGCAGCTCCTGCAGCCGAGATACCACAGAGGTGTGGCCGAGGTGCAGCCGAGGTAGAGGGAGAGCGCGTGGAAGCTCTCTCCTCGACGCGCCCGTCCGCCACGCACTGCAGCTGGGCGCGCTCGTCCGACCCGCGGCGGACGCGCCGGCGCAGCGTGGAGACCTGCAAAGAGATCGATAAGACGGAAGTGCGTGGAGAGGTGTGGAGAGGCTACTCACGCATATCCGTGTGAGGAGTCCGCGAGTGCAACGTGAAGGGACACGCTGTCCCATGTGTGCTACGCAGCTAGGGTTAGGGATAGGGCTGTCGAGCTACGCAGCTAGTGTTAGGGATAGGGTTATCGAGCTAGGGTTAGGGTTAGGGTTAGGGTTAGATGTAAAGAGGCCGACCTGCGCCGCCGACGGCCCATTCGCGCCACCCGGCGCCGCCACGACAGAGAGTCGACGCGTGCGGAACGAGGCGCGGGAGAGGTCGCGCCGGTCGGCCTGTCCACTCAGGTGCTCCGTGAGAAGTGGTTGCACGCGCGAGCGGGAGGGCGGGCGGCCTCGCGCGGCCTGCAATTGGCTGTCGAGGGCGCACACCTCGCTCGTAAGGAGCAGCACCTCCGCCTCTGCGCGGCGGCGCGCCGTGTGCAGCGCACCCAGCTCCGCGCGGAGCTTCTCGACCTGCTGCGGCAGAAAGGCGATCGACTTGCCGCGCTGCTTGAAGGCGGCCAGCAAGAACCGGATCTGCCGCTTGATCGACTCGACCCATGCAGCACGCTCCTACGGTATATAAACGCCAGCATCAGGGCGGGAAGACGGTATTGTGGAGAGGATTCAGAGCGCCGCGTGAGCACGAGGGATACGAATGCGGTCGAATGCGGTCGAATGCAGTCGAAGAGAGACCGCTAGTTGGAATCCAAGAACACGTATTCCGCGCGTCTAGGGGCACGCTCCTCGGCGCTGCCCGCGCTGAGCCGCCACGAGCGCTTCCCGTCCACGCGCGACAGCTCGAACGGGTAGCCGCCTCCTTCCGACCGCGGCTCGGACGCGGGCTCGTCTAAGTCGGCCAGCACCTTGACTTGCACCTGCTCACACAGTCTGTGCGCGTGACGGTCACGTCCTCCGCCCACCTGCCGCACCCGTCGGCCCCGCCGCGCGCCTTGGCCAACCCGATGCACTCCACGCTGGCGACGCCGCCCTCGCCCCCCAAGGCCTCGCGGGGCGCCTCGCCGCCCTCCACCAGCAGCAAGATGTCGTTGAAGAGGTGCGCGCGCCGCCTCTGCCATGCGGCGCCCTCGGCCGAAGCTTCGGACTGCCGCAACTCGCCCTCGCGCAGAAAACGACGGTGCGGCAACGCCAGCCCCTCGGGGAGAGCCGCGCGGAGCGACGTGGGGGGCAGCTCGCGCGCGAGGTGCGAGACGCGGTCGCGCGCGCGTTGCTCGTCGAGCAAAGCCTCGAGGTGCGAGACCAGCTCGCCGCACTCGTCTGCCTGCAGTGTGAATACACCAAACACCTCAGGGCGCGAAGACGGTCTCGTGCAGAGTCGTCAGAGCACCGCGTGAATGCACGGGCTACGAATACAAGGAGAAGACGGCCGAATACAGCGGAGTCCGTGTCCTCTCGAGCGCTAGATGGAGTGAACATGACACACGTCTTCCGCTTCTAGGCTCGTCTGCTGCAGCGGAGGCCTCCTCGCCCGGTGGGCACGCCTCGCACGACGCCTCGAGCAGCGCCTATTCAGCGGAAAGGGAAAGCAGCACGTCCACCTACGCCGCCCAGACCCCTTGTTCGCGCCCGTGCAACTTCTCGAGCGGCGCCCGCATGCTCGCTGCGTAGCAGGAGATGCGCCGCAGCGGCTCGTCAAGCAGCGTACCGAGGAGAGCCGCGGCTGCCCTGCCGCCTTCGGCAACGACCGCTCTCGCGGGCAAAGTGCCGCCGGCCAGCTCCGCCGAGCCGACCCGCTCGAGCTCCTCGAGGAGGGAGGCCTGCTCACACCGGGAGGGGTGAATGGGAAACCTCCGTGCCGGAACGCAGATCGATTCCAAGTGTATGGGTGTGGTGTATATACCGACTCTCAGCGCCGGACTTCGGCACTGTGCAGAGTCTCCAGGGCACCGCGTGAATACGAGGGGCAAGGGTGCAGTGAGTACAGCGGAACGCCGCCGAGTACAGCGGAAGACGTGTCCTCTCGAGCGCTAGGTGGACTGCAAGAACCGTAGTCCGCTTCTAGGAGGGGCACCGTAGGACCCCCCTCCTGCCGCAGGGCCTGCAGCGCCGCGGCCGAGGCGCTCCTGCCGCCCACGTACTGCCGGTAGACGCCGAAAGCCGGAACCATTGCGAGCAGTACCTGCGCGCACGC